AGACCCCGCGGGGGCCCAACCCAAATCCACCCAAAAGGGTAAATTTTTCCTCACTAGCCCCCCTAGAAAACGAGCCCCAAGGGTTTCCCGATTTGCAAAAAATTGGGGGAAAAGAAAAGGAGAATAAAAACCAACCCCGCAAAAAACCAAAATCACCCACTTCCCACAGGAAACACGAACCAACCCCCCCTAGTAAAATAGGAAAAGGGAGATAACCGCACCAACATCCCCCCTCCCAGACAACAAACGTCTTAGGAGTTATCTAGACCACAACCTGGGGAATTCCCCAGACAAAATTTAAACCCCAAAGCAAGCCATTTCAAAACCCAAACCCCCGTCGGGGATAAACCAAAAATTTGGCAAGGGTTCCACACAAACAAAACTGCCCCAAACAAAGCCCTCAAACGCCCAATAATCCCTACTGCCCACTAGCCCTTTCCGTTTTTTGCGGGGAACAAAACAAAATTAAAAAAACCCAAAGGATTTCCCGAAAAAAAGCCTAATGGGTTTTCCACCCCTGGGGTAATTCCTCACAAGTGAGTCCATCCACGCTCCCGGGGAACTCCCCTGGGTTTTAAACGGTACTGGAAACTGCTTTTTGACCAAAAAAAAATAGACAAATTAGAGCCCCCACATGAATACCCGGGAAACCCCTTTCCTAGACGACGAAATACGCAGACCCGCAAAAACTCACACAACCTTTTTTAATCACCTGCCCCCGTTTCCCCCTTTCCTTTTTAAACCCAAAAAAAACCCCTTCGCAAATTTTTGACGCCTAACCCGTTTTCACAGGGTGGGGACCTTAAATATTGCCCATGTACCACATCTACGCCCTTTGGGCCCTCCCCCCCGTCCCCCCCCCCTTCCCCCCCCGTCCCCCCGGTCCCCCCCGTCCCCCGTCCCCCCCTTGCCCCCCCTCCCCTTTTTCCCCCCCCCTCCCCCCCCTACCCCCGGCCCCCCCCTCCCCCCCCGCCCCCCGCCGTTTCCCCTCCCCTTCCCCCCCTCCCCCCTTTTCCCCCCCCTCCCCCGTTTTCCCCCCCTCCCCCCCCACCCCCCTTTTCCCCCGTTTCCCCCCCTCCCCCCCCCCTCCCCCCCGTCCCCCCGTCCCCCCCCCCCCCCCCCGGCCCCCGCCCCCACCCCCCCGTCCCCCCCTCCAGGAGATAACACGACCTTAGCAACCACAAATAGGTGAGTCCCAAAAAAGGGGATTTCACCCATACACTCATTTAAGCCCTGGATATACAACAACCCCAAAAGTTTTTACTCGCCCGTCCAAGGAAAAAATGTAACTAATACCTCTAAAATACACAAAAACTCAAAAATTTTAAAAATTTGGGGAGAGATAATTTTTAATTCTTATTTAAAAAAAAGTTCTCTTTAAAAAAAAATTTTTATGACAACAGTCTCATGTAAACAACGACTTAAAAATTTTTGAAAATTTAAAAGTCCTAAAATTTAGTAATTATAGAGGCGGATAGCCATTCCTCTGTTTAACCCTTTTCATCCCCCTCTCAATAATTGGGTTCAACACTACCATTCCATGATGACACGTGTGCAACCTGCCATCCACTCTCCCATATATTGTTCAACACTACCATACCATAAATGACAGTGTGCAACCTCCCATCCCCCCTCTCCCAATATTGTTCAACACTACCATACCATGATGACACGTGTGCAACCTGCCATCCACTCTCTCATATATTGTTCAACACTACCATACCATGATGACACGTGTGCAACCTGCCATCCACTCTCCCATATATTGTTCAACACTACCATACCATGATGACACGTGTGCAACCTGCCATCCACTCTCTCATATATTGTTCAAACACTACCAATTACCATGATGACAGGTGAGCAACCTGCCATCCACTCTCCCATATATTGTTCAACACTACCATACCATGATGACACGTGTGCAACCTGCCATCCACTCTCCCATATATTGTTCAACACTACCATACCATGAGGGAAAACGTGTGCAACCTGCCACCCCACTCTCTATATTTGTCAAACACTACCTTTCCATGATGACACGTGTGCAACCTGCCATCCACTCTCCCATATATTGTTCAATACTACCATACCATGATGACACGTGTGCAACCTGCCATCCACTCTCCCATACACTGTTCAACACTACCATACCATGATGACACGTGAGCAACCTGCCATCCACTCTCCCATATATTTGTTAACAACTACCATACCATGATGACACGTGTGCAACCTGCCATCCACTCTCCCATATATTGTTCAACACTACCATACCATGATGACACGTGTGCAACCTGCCATCCACTCTCCATAATTGTTCACACTACCATCCATGATGACAGGTGAGCAACCTGCCATCCACTCTCCCATATATTGTTCAATACTACCATACCATGATGACACGTGTGCAACCTGCCATCCACTCTCTCATATATTGTTCAACACTACCATACCATGATGACACGTGTGCAACCTGCCATCCACTCTCATATATATTGTTCAACACTACCATTCCATGATGACACGTGTGCAACCTGCCATCCACTCTCCCATATATTCTTCAATACACCATACCATGATGAACGTGTGCAACCTGCCATCCACTCTCCCATACACTGTTCAACACTACCATACCATGATGACACGTGAGCAACCTGCCATCCACTCTCCCATATATTGTTCAACACTACCATACCATGATGACACGTGTGCAACCTGCCATCCACTCTCCCATATATTGTTCAATCACTTACCATACCATGATGAAAACGGGGTGCAACCGCCATCCACTCTCCCATACACTGTTCAACACTACCATTCCATGATGACACGTGTGCAACCTGCCATCCACTCTCCCATACATTGTTCAACACTACCATACCATGATACGTGTGCAACCTGCCATCCACTCTCCCATACATTGTTCAACACTGCAATCCCATGATGACTCGTGTGCAACCTGCCATCCACTCTCCCATATATTGTTCAACACTTCCATACCATGATGACACGTGTGCAACCTGCCATCCACTCTCATATTTACTGTTCAACACTACCATCCCATGACGACACGTGTGCACTGTGCCATCCACTCTCCCATATACTGTTCAACACTACCATCCCATGACGACACGTGTGCACTGTGCCATCCACTCTCCCATATACTGTTCAACAATACCATACCATGATGACACGTGTGCAACCTGCCATCCACTCTCCCATATATTGTTCAACACTACCATACCATGATGACACGTGTGCAACCTGCCATCCACTCTCCCATATATTGTTCAACACTACCATACTATGATAACACGTGTGCAAACTGCCATCCACTCTCCCATACACTGTATAACAATACCATATCATGATGACGCGTGTGCAACCTGCCATCCACTCTCCCATATATTGTTCAACACTACCATACCATGATGACACGTGTGCAACCTGCCATCCACTCTCGCATACACTGTTCAACACTACCATACCATGATGACACGTGTGCAACCTGCCATCCACACTCCAATATACTGTTCAACACTACCATACCATGATGACACGTGTGCAACCTGCCATCCACTATCCCATACATTGTTCAACACTGCCATCCCATGGAAATATAAACACAAATGTTGGTCAAATGTTTTTTAGTGGGATGAATTGTAAAGGACCTGCCTAGTATGGGCCAACAGGCCTGCTGCAGTGTTCCTCCTTTCTTATGTTCTTATAATGTGATCCTTTATTGACAACGTTTCACCCACACAGTGGGCTTTTTCAAGTCACACACGGATCTACCTGGGGTTGGAAGGTACGAGAGTATTTATAGGCATGTTCAGAATGTTGAGGTCAGGTGGAGAATGCTGCATCTGATGATCTACCGGGTGGGGTTATAGAGTCTTGGGTAGCTTGGCAGGGGTATTGGACAAGTTTGAGTAGACCTTCTGCAGTTTCTATGTTCTATGTGGATAACGATGAAAAGTTTCTTGGCGAGGGGTTTCAGCTATGCTATAGAAGCCATTGTTCTGGTTGAAATTGTTGGTTGTAGAGATGAGCGATGATTCCGGGATTCTTCTGTATTGAGTGTTTCTTCTGTGGCTAAAGCCCTTGAGTTTCTGTAGTTAATTAAATGGTTGTGTGAATTGCGATGTTGTACACAGGCATTCTTGTATCGTTCAGTCCTGCTTGCTATTGTGTTCGGGAAATACGTTTTTGGGGGTCTCTTGATGTTTCGCCCACATATAATTTGTTGCAGTCATTACAAGGGTTTATGTATATCCCGCTGGCTTACCGTCCACCCCTTTAAAAATTAGGGCTAATTTCAATTCTGTCGGTCTGTTGAAGAAGACGACACAAGACAGTGACTGGAAACAGTACACAAGTTAACCCCACATATAGGAGAGAGAAGCTTGACCACGACGTTTGGGCCTGACTTGGCCCCATTCACCCCAAGCCCACAGTGTGACTTGTGAATGGCCCAAGTCGGAGCGAAACGTCGTCGTCGGACGGGTTATTTGTCATTCGACTGTGGCACAGGATGGACTCCTGAAGATTAATGTGTCATTCCTACGTGAAGCCCAGGAAGATAGATGTTGACAAGTGTTTGCGCTGGACAACACCACCAGTATTGACAACGGTACAAAATACCAACGAGTTGATAGTAAGACACAGTTGGTGGATCCTTATTGTTGAAAGTTACGCCTACACCCCAATAGGTTCTTCAGTCCCATACAGGAGCAGGAGGAGTGGAAGAATAGAGAAGATGAAATCATCCTCAGCCTTGAAGTAATAGTTCGAGGCGATCATCTCCCTCACCTGGGAAGAAGAGCTCAGCTTTCCGAGTCTAGAACAGACCAAGAAGTGCATAAATGTTTCAATATGTGTCATAATATTGTCAGAATGTTAAGAATGTTTAGTGTCATATATATGTCAGTGTTTACAGTATATGACATAATTTGTCAGATATACAGAAAGTTACAATATGTGACTTAATGTTACAGAATTCACAGTATGTTGAAATGGGTCAGAATGTTACAGTTTTGTCACAGTATGTGGTAATGTGTCAGAATGTTTACAGCATGTGTCCAATGTGCAGAATGTTACGGTATGTGTCATAAGTTTCATAATGCCACAGTATTTTGTCATGTGTCAGAATGTTGCAGTATGTGTCATGAGTCAGAATGTTACAGTATGTGCCACACTGGTCAGAGTGTTACGGAATGTCACAACATGTGTCAGAATGTTACAGTATGTTCAGAATGTAACAGTATGTGTTAGAATGTCGCAGAATGCATACAGTATTGTCCTTGATGTCGTGGTTTGTGGAGGTAGATACTTGGAATGATGTTTTCGCAAAGATGTTGGAAACAGTTTTGGCAATGGATTTGTGTTTGGGAGGACTATGTAATCTCTTCTCGGCAGTGTTTTCTCGGGGAGTGTTGGAAGAAAGATGTTAATGCCCCCGTCTGCAGTCTCTGAGAAGTGACGAGGATAGTGAGTTTAGAAAATACTTGATTCAATTAACGTGCATTCTTCCTCAAGGCACTCATTGCTGAAGATTCTGAGTGCAACGTAGGAAGAAGCCTATAATTACACCACGTTTAGTTTTGGTGTCGTGGTGAGAGTAGAAGTGGAGAAAGATCGTTTTGGTTGGTGGGTTTTGATAGACTTTAAAACGAAGTTCGTGGTCAGCTTGCAGAGGCAGAACATCAAGGAAAGGAAGATGTTGTCGACTTCTTCTTCAAGTGTAACTGCTTGAAGGCTTCGATCTGGTGAGCTTTCTTGGAGAGCTTGAACGTTGAAGCTTTAGAGTAATGAGGAAAAGTCGTCAACATAACGGAGCCAGGTGACAGACGAAGGTGAATAATGGTGGAGCAACGTCGCTTCTAGATGTCCATGTATAGGGTTCGCCAGGACTGCACTGAGTGGCGAACCCATGGGTATCCTAAAGTCTGCTGAAAGAGGTTGATTTTTCGAAAGAGAAACACGTAAAGCAACACATAGTTCAACAAGGTCGATGAAATCGCTGCTGGGAGGGTGAAGATCAAGTGAATCGTTCAATTTCCTGCGCAAGAGATCGATGGCTTGTGTTGTAGGACTTTGGTGAATAGTGAAGTCACGTCAAGGCTGGAAAGGTTCTTGTTCCTGATTGTTGGATGTTGCGAATGCGGTTGAGATCACCCGAGTGTTTTGAGATTGCTGGACTGATAGTGCCGCAAGAGTTTATAGAGAGGTTGTTTGCGAGAATTCCTGAGAGCTGGTGGGGGAGCAACTGCCTATTCCCGAGGATATGGGCCTCAGAGGGATACAACTGGCCTGTGAGTCTTTGGCAGGCCGTACATTGCTGCAGGCCTGGGGTTGCTGTGGCATGGTGTGCAGAAGTTTCTTCCCTTGTTCTGAGCCCCTCAAAATGCGGCGGAGTCCTTTTGAAGAAAAGTTTTTTTATGTAAAGGTTGTCCACTTGTTAGTTGTGAGCGTTTGTAGGTAATCTGGGTCATTAAGTAGATGGAGCATTTGTTCCTGTAATCGTCAGTGTTTCATGATAACAACACCACCTCCTTTATCATCGTGGTGACCCTGATGGTCGTGTCTTCTGCTAGAAAACTTGTGAGTGCATGATGTAACGTTCGAGGTATGACTGGGGAGCTGCGTGTTCAGATGGCTGCTGAGATGATGCCTTGAAGATAGCCGTTTTTGGAAGTCGGAGTCATTGTGTCTGTAGTTTTTTGGCGTGAAATTGAGGTCTTGTTTTGGTTGTCGTAATTCCTGTTGCGAATTTGAGGCCTAAGCATGAGTGCTTCAGTTTCTGTGGTGACAGTGGACGAGATGAAAGATTTTGAAATAAATTCAGGTCTTCAAACTTTTCCTATTACTATTACGCAGAGTGTTTGAGTTTCCTAGCTAGACCTGATCTTCTGTTGAACATTCCTGTGGTACCTCTGCTGCGAATATTTCGGCGGTGGCGTCTGTTCATGTTGCCCCCGAGTGTTGTGCCTAGTGTTCTGGCGTGGAGAAAAGCTTCCTTAGTACATTGTTTAAGTCATATCTGCAACACTCTCAAGGTAGGTCCCGAGCTGTAGCGGAGAAGGTGGTTTTGATGTTGGCAATTTGAGGAGGAGTAGATCTTGGTAAGACCGTTTTTTTTATTTCTTGGATGCAATCAACGAAGAAAATTGTGTCTGTTGCGAGTGAGTTTAAAGCTTTTAGAAGAAAGGTCCAGGTATTTCTCTGTGTGAAGATCCATTTCTACTGCAGTGTTTGAAACACGATGGAAATACATGTATCAATACCGACACAGTGGAAAAATAAATACATAAGGGCATATAATGGTTGATCCTTTATTGACAAAACGTTTCACCGCACACAGCGGGGCCTTTTTCAAGTCACACACAGTCAGATCTACTCTGTGTTAGGTAAGGTGGGAGAATGCTGCATCAGATGATCACCGGGTGGGAGTTTATAGAGTCTTTGGGTAGGCTTGGCAGGGGTATTGGACAAGTTGTGATAGACCTTCTGCAGTGTTCTATGTTCTTATGTGGGAATAGCGATGAAGAAGTTTTTCTTGGCGAGTGGTTTCAGCTATGTTAATAGAAGGCCGTTTTCCTGGTTAAAATGTTTGTTATAAGAGATAAAGGCGATGACTCCAGGCTTCTTCGGTATTGAGGTGTTTGTCTTCTGTGGCGATAAAGTCTTGAGTTTCTGTATTAATTAAATGGTTTGTGTGAATGCCGATTGTTTGTACATCAGGCATTCCACCAGCAACCAACCATCCATCGCACTCTCCCATATATTGTTCAACCACTACCATAGCCCATGATGACACGTGTGCACCGCCGTTCACTCTCTCCATATTTGTTAAAAACTACATAACCATGATACACGATGTGCAACCTGCCATCCACTCTCCCATATAATTGTTAAACACTAACGTAACCATGATAAAATGAACTTGAAACCTGCCATCCACGCTCTCCTTCCCAATATTGTTCAACACTACCATACCATGATGACACATGTGCAACAGTTGTTTATCTTTATTCTTGCAATGTTTCGCCTACACAGCAGACTTCTTCAGTAGTGTAATGAGGATATAATCAGTCCATCAACCTTGGAGATACAGTGTGTGAGGTGGTTAGTCCCTCCAAGCATGATGGACTGATTACGTCATCTTTAATTCCACACTTACACTGTTTATCCTCTTATCTGACTGCAGAAGTCAGAAGTCAATCCCGTCTCTAGTCCTCCCCAATTCCGTCTCTAGTCCTCCCCAATCCCAACTCTAGTTCTCCCCAATCCCGTCTCTAGTCCTCCTCAATCCCGTCTCTAATCCTCCCCAATCCCGTCTTTAGTCCTCCCCAATGATCTCTCTAGTCCTTCCCAATCCCGTCTCTAGTGCTCCCGCAATCCCGTCTCTAGTCTTCCCCAATCCCGTCTCTAGTCCTCCCCAATTCCGTCTCTAGTTCACTACAGTCCCTATCACTAGTCCTCCCCCCCAAAATTCCCGTCCTCTAGTCCTCCCTCAATCCCGTCTCTAGTCCTCACCCCAATCCCGTCTACTAGTCTTCCCCAATTCCGTCTCTAGTCCTCCCCAATCCAATTTCTAGTCGTCCTCAATCCCGTCCTCTAGTCCTCTCGCCAATAACGGTCTGAAGTCTTCCCCAATGGCCCGTCACTAGTCCCGTCCCCAATCCTGTCTCTAGTCCTCCCCAATCCCCTCTCTAGTCCTCCCCAATCCCGTCTCTAGTCCTCCCCAATCCCGTCTCTAGTCCTCCCCAATCCCGTCTCTAGTCTTCCCCAATCCCGTCTCTAGTCCTCCCCAATTCCGTCTCTAGTCCTCCCCAATCCCGTCTCTAGTCCTCCCCAATCCCGTCTCTAGTCCTCCCCAATCCCGTCTCTAGTCCTCCCCAATCCCGTCTCTAGTCCTCCCCAATCCTCTCTAGTCCTCATCCAATCCATTTCTAGTCCGTCCCATTCCCGTCTCTAGTCCTCGCCAATACCGTCTGAAGTACATTCCCCAATCCCGTCAACTAGTCCTCCCAATCCTGTCTCAGTCCTCCCCAATCCCATCTTCTAGTCCTCCCCAGGTCTCGTTCTCTATTCCTCCCCAATCCCATACCTAGTGCCCCCCCCTTCTCAATCCCGTCCCTATTCCTCCCAATCCAGTCTCAGTTCCTCGCCAATCCCGTCTCTAGTCCTCTCCCCAATTGCCGTCTCTATTCCTCCCCAATGAGTTCTCTTCTAGTCCTTCCCATCCATGTCTAGTCCCTCCCCATCCTGTCTCTAGTCCTTCCCAATCCGTCTCTTGTCTTCCCCAATCCCGTCTCTTGTCCTCGACCCAATCCCCTCTCAGACCTCCCCAATCCTAACTCTAGTCCCCTCCCCAATCAATCGTTAGTCCGCTCCTCATCCCGTCTCTAATCCTCCCCAATCCCGTCTGTAAGTCCCTCCCCAAATCCTGTCACTAGTCCCTCCACCAATCCGTCTCTAGTTCTCCCAATCCCGTCTCTAGTCTTCCCCAATCCCGTCTCTAGTCCTCCCCAATCCCGTCTCTAGTCCTCCCCAATCCCGTCTCTAGTCTTCCCCAATACCGTCTCTAGTATTCCCCCAATCTGTCTCAGTCCTCCTCAAATCCCGTCTCAGTTCTCTCCCCCAATCCGGGTCTAGTCCACCCCAAATCCCGTATCTAGACCTATCCAATCCCGTATCTAGACCTATCCAATCCCGTCTATAGGTCCTCTCCTCCCCAATCCCGTTCTGTAGACCTCCTCAATCCCGTCTCTAACCTCCCCCATCCGTCTTCAGTGTCCTCCCCCAATCATCTCTCTAGTCCTCCCCTAATCCCGTCTCGATTCCCCCCCAATCCCCTCTAGTCCTCCCCAATCCCGTCCTATTCCTCCCCAATCCCGTCTCCTAGTCCTCCCCAATCCCGTCTATTGTCCTCCCAATCCGTCTCTAGTCTCCCCAATCCCGTCTCTAGTCCTCCCTAATCCCGTCACTTGAGTACACCACCAATCCCCGTCTCTAGTTTTTCCCCAATCCCGTCCACACCCTGCCTAAAAAAAAGTTTCCCCCCCCCCCCCCCCCACCTCCCAATCCCGTCTCTAT